CTTTTTTATGGCTGCATAGTATTCCATTGTGTATATGTACCACATTTTTAAAATCCAGTCCAGTTTCGAAGGGCAGCGTGGTTGGTTCCATGTTTTTGCTATTGTGAATAGAGCTGCAGCAAACTTATGTGTGCAGGTATCTTTTTTGTAGAATGATTTGAGTTCCTCCGGGTATATTCCCAATAGGGGAATTGCTGGGTCATATAGAAGGTTAATTTCTAGTTCTTTCAGAAATCGCCACACTGCCTTTCCAAGAGGTTGCACTAGTTTGTATTCCCACCAGCAGTGTAAAAGCATTCCTTTCTCTCCACATCCTTGCCAGCATCTGTTGTTTTTTCTTTTATTAATGATGGCCATTCTTACTGGGCTTAGGCGGTATCTCAATGTGGTTTCGATTTGCATTTCTCTGATGATGAGTGAGGCTGAGCACTTTTTCATGTATCTTGGCTGCCCGTATATCTTCTTTTTAGAAGTGTCTTCATGTCTTTTGCCCACTTTTTAATGGGGCTGTTTGTTTTTTTCCTTTCAACGTGTTTGAGTTCCTTGTAGATCCTAGATGTTAGACCTTTGTCAGATATACAGTTGGCAAAGTTTTTTTCCCATTCTGTGGGCTCTCTCCCTGCTCTCTTGATGGTTTCTTTTGCTTTGCAGAAGCTCGTCAGTTTGATGAGGTCCCACTTGTCTATCTTATTTCTTAAGGTATGGGCATTTAGGGTTCTGAATAGGAATGGTTTGCCAGTTCCAATTTCCATAAGGGTGTCTCCTGCTTTTTCTAAAATTCTCATAGTTCGAGGTTTTACGTTTAGGTCTTTGATCCATTTAGAGTTAATTTTTGTGTATGGTGATAGGGGTCCTGTTTCAATCTTCTGCATATGATCAGCCAGTTTTCCCAGCACCATTTACTAAATGGATTCTCCTCTTCCCAGTGGTTGTTGTTGGAGGCTTTGTCAAAGATGAGTTGGTTGAGAAATTGAGGCTTTGCTTCTGGAATCTCTATCCTCTTCCATTGGTCTATATGCCTGTTCTTATGCCAATACTGTTTTGATTACTGTAGCCTTATAGTAAAGTTTGAAGTCTGAAAGTGTGATACCTCCTGCTTTGTTTCTTTTGCTAAGAATTGTTTTGGCTATTCGTGGTCGTTTATGCTTCCATATGAATTTCTGTATTGTCATTTCCAGGTCTGAGAAGAATGATGTTGGTAACTTAATGGGTATTGCGTTGAATCTGTAGATTGCCTCTGGTAGGATGCACATATTAATAATGTTGATTCTTCCGATACATGAGCATGGAATATTTTTCCAGTTGTTTGTGTCTTCTTGGATTCTTTGAGCAGTGTTTTGTAGTTCTCATTGTAAAGGTCTTTCAGTTCTCTGGTTAGGAAGAGGAAATTGGCCCTATTTTAAAGAAAACATTTTGTGTGGTTATGAATTTTAAATACAGAAACTGAAACAGGGACTTATTGTTGCCTTTAATAATGTGTTGCTCTTGAAACAACTTGTTCATACATAAATGCCATCATACAGACATATTTTGAGAAAAGATACCAGGATATTTGCTGTTACTTCCTTTTTTTTTTTTTTTTTTTTTTTTGAGTTGGAGTCTCACTCCATCGCCAAGCTGGAGTGCAGTGGCATGTTCACGGCTACTCCAGCGTCGACCTGCTGGGCTCTGGCGATCCTTCCACCTCAGCCTTCCAAGTAGCCAGAACTACAAGTGTGTGGTACTACACTCGGCTCATTTTTTTATTTATTGTGGTGATGAGATCTCTCCAAGTTGCCAGGGTTGGTCTTGAACCCACAGGCTCAGGCAATTCACTTACCTTGGCCTCCCAAAGTGCTGGGCTTTCAGACTGAGCCACCAAGCCTGACCTACTGTCACTTTTTAGTGATTGTAAAAATAATAAATAAAATATAGGCGGGGAGAAAGATGGAACAATCTAAATGCCCATCAGTAGGGGACTAGTAAATAATGGTACAGTTGGGCATCACTGTAGAAAACTGCAGTTGTATATGTCAATATAGAAAGCAACTTCAGAACAATATATATAATATGAAATTGGTTTTGTGGAAAATAAATGTATATATGTGGGGGAGTTGTCTAGACAAATATATACCACATATGCTTCTTTAGCCTGGAAAAGAACTTGCTATGCATTTTGCAAATCTACTACTATACTTCCTTAGGGGCTGCATCTGAATACCAATGACCACACAGCTAGTGGGTGAAAGGCTCCTATGTGTTCCAATCTTGGAGTATATTATGGCTTTAGAACACTATAGGAAGTCTGGTGCAGTGGTTTACACCTGTAATCCCAGCACTTTGGGAGGCTGAGGTGAGAGGATCACTTGAACTCAGCAGTTCAAGACCAACCTGGGCAATACAGTGAGACCTTGTCTCTTTAAAAAGTCAGGTGGGTGTGGTGGTGCACGCCTGTAGTCCTAGCTACTCAGGAGACTGAGGCGGGAGGATCACTTGAGCCCAGGAGTTTGAGGATGCAGTGAACTGTGATCATGTCACTGCACTCCATTCTCAGTAACAGAATGAGGCCTCAACTCACAAAAAAAGAAGAGAAGGAGGAAGAGCAGGCGACAGAGTAAGACCCTAACTCACACAAAAAGAAGAAATTAGAGAGGGTGAGAAATAATAATAATTGTTGGGAAGAAGACCTAAATTGGTAAAGTCTGAAAGTTGTTTAAATCTCTAGTAAGATGAGGCTTAATCGTGGCTATATTGGGAATGGGAAATTAAGGTGGGGAGGGGGTTGGATAATTGGGAGAGAGTTCTTTTTATATTACACTTACAAATTGTGATGTATTACGATGGGAAGGGGTTGGATAATTGGGGGAGATTTCTTTTTATATTACACACAAATTGTGATGTGGTATTGGTAATAATTTTTCTTTAGCCATGAGCTTGTACAAAATTATTTAAAGCCTTCACAATAAAAAACAAGACCACTAAATTCAAGTGTCACCCCTTTTGGAAACACTTAGTTATATGCTGTCTTTAACAACTTTTGATTATTTAGGTAATAGTGCATCTCATACTATATTGAAGTAGTTAGTATTCTCTGCGCTCCTTAAAGTCAGGCACTGTGTTGTTATATTTATTTCCAGGGCCTAACTGGTGTCTCCATAGGAGATACTTAGTAAATATTTGAATGAAGAAAGAAGGTGTGGGTGCAATACAAGTATATGTAAGATAAATGTTAGGAATAATTCTGCTAATATAGCAGTTGAAAAAACATTTTTTTGTCCCAAGGCCATCTTGTCCATTTAACTTTTGCCAGATTAAACATTATTTTCCTTTTCCTAACCTCCTTTTGAAATTAAGTCTTAGTACCAACCCATCTCAATTTGTATTTAAATTCGTGAAACATTAGAGATTATAGAATTATGTCTATATTACAACTATACTGAGTCTTTATGAAATGTCTTCTTAATAGTCAATCTGTGTAAACCAGTACAACATGGATTTGATAAATCTAGCATTTTGGGTTTCCTTATGGAGAACAAGTTCATCTAAACCTTTTCCTTTCCCTTTACATTAGGATTCTGATAATCCTGACCTCCGAGACCGGGGCTATATTTATTGGCGCCTTCTCTCAACTGACCCTGTTACGGCCAAAGAAGTAGTTTTGTCTGAAAAGCCACTGATCTCTGAGGAAACGGACCTTATTGAACCAACTCTGCTGGATGAGCTAATCTGCCACATTGGTTCTTTGGCCTCTGTGTATCATAAGCCTCCCAATGCTTTTGTGGAAGGAAGTCATGGAATCCATCGCAAACACTTGCCAATTCATCATGGGAGGTAAGCAGAGGTGAACTAGGTTTAAGTGAAAAGTGACTGTTGAGACACAGTTGGTTTTTATGCTTTTATAACCTGGAAAATAACTTGCTATGCATTTTGCCAACCACTATACTTCACTGGTTGCTCCATCTGAATACCAGTGACCACACATACAGTGGGTGAAAGACTCCTCTGCATTCCAGTCTAGCAGTATATTATGGCTTTAGAAAATTGTGGGGAAGATGATCTTCTAAGTTGATAAAGTCTGACAGTTTCTTATGTCTCTAGTAAGATGAGGCTAGAAATATTTTCAGAGCTGAAAACTTGGAAAAAAGTTTTGGTTGAGGGTTATGGATAAAGTTAGCAGATACTATTTCTCTTACGTTGTAAAGCTGTTAATGAAATAATATTTATAGAATTGCTTATAAAAGCAATCTAAAGTCTATGTGGATATAGTTTTTTAGTTATCTGTACCTTTTTTTCCCCAAATTAAATTAGATGGTGTCAGTGAGAAAATTGTTATGAACAGACTCTCAGGTAACATGGAGCTCTTGCTTTACAATTACCTTAAAATTTTAACTAGGGAGTGGAAGTACTTTGATAAACTCTTATAATGGTTGTCTTGAAATCTTTGCTGAATCAGATTTATCAAGCATAATAAACCTGAAATCTAAGTAGAATTTGCTTCCAGAGTAGTTTAAGTGATTTATGAGTGACCAGACCATAGGATTTATTACTTTACAAATTGATGTAGTCAACAATTTAGGCTCTATTTAAACAGACTGTGGACACAGATAAGCAAAAAGGAAGGAGCAGCACCAAAGAAAATGACTATTAATCTTTTCATGACTTTTAATTGAGTTGAGTCTTTGGTTTTTGGGCAGGTGCTATGATTTTACCTCAAAGGAGATGTACATCTTCTTAAGACTTAGGCCTTATAATAAGTTAGGGTGTTTTTCCTTGTAGGCAAGCATGTTTAACATTCTTTAGATATGACTTTTTGCCTTCCAAGTATTTCCCCTAATCTGTGCTTCAAGTTTTGATATAGATATGGATTTTCTATTGTAACTTGCCTGTATACCTTGTTTATATACCATTTTTCCTGATAACTTTTGACCCTCAAATGGGAGGGAGAGATGAAGCAAATCAACAAACAGAAACAACCCTTTTTTTTTTTTTTTTTTTTTTTTTTTGAGTAGAAGTTTCACTCTGTTGCCCAGGCCAGAGTATATTGGCACGCTCACAGCTACCGCAGCCTCGACCTGCTGGGTGGGCTCAAGCAATACTTTTCCCTTACCTTTCCAATTAGCTGGAAGTACAGGCGTGCGGCACCATGACTGGCTATTTATTTATTTATTTATTGAGTTGGAGTCTCACTCCGTCGCCCAGACTGGAGTGCAGTGGCCGCTCCCGGCCACCGCAGCCTCGACCTGCTGGGCTCCAGCGATCCTTCCGCTTCAGCCTTCCAAGTAGCTGGAACTACAGATGCACGCTACCACACCCAGCTAATTTTTTGATTTATTGTAGAGAGGAAGTCTCACCAAGTTGCCCAGACTGGTCTCAAACCCCTGGGCTCAGGCAGTTCTCTCGCTTGTGTGCCCCAAAGTTCTGGGGTTACAGGTGTGAGTCACAGCACGCAACAACCCTTTCTTAAACACAAGGGAAGAACCAACATTTAAACTGTCTGGAAAGAAACACAGTCTCTTATATAAAGTCATAATCTGATTAATAGCCTTTAATTTCTTACCTTCATATTTCCTTATGTGGCTCCGTTTTGGATAAACTCCTTTTTGCCCATTTGTGCATGCTTAATGTTTTTAAAGGAAATACATATAGAGGGAAAAATCCCTTTTAATACAAATGGTGATGATGCACTGCTACAAATGTGTTAATATTGATATTACCTAGCTCTCTTCTGCATCATAAGCTAATAAGTGATATGCCTCTGATAGGAAGTAAAGCAACACTTTAAAACCTTGTTCTGCATCTTCTAGATACTTGAAAATGCTTACCTCATTAGATCTTTTTAACTTACTGGAAAAGAGAGAAGTGATTTTTACTTGGGTATTACTTACTGTGTTTATAATTGTCAACTGCTCTATGGAAGTGAGGTGGTAATTAGTTGTCTAATTTAGAAAAATCTCACCTTTTCAAAATAATGTTTTGATGACAGTTATGCAGCTATTTCCCATGAGTTCACAATGGGAAATGTCTTTGTATTAATTTACTTGTATTTTCCGTTGAGAAAGCATGTATAATGATTTATCATGTTCTTGTAGAATTTATAGGATCATTACTTGTTTTTTTGTTTTGTTTTGTTTTCTTCTTTGAGTTGGAGTCTCACTCTTTTTTTTTTTTTTGAGTTGGAGTCTCACTCTGTCGCCCAGACTGGAGTGCAGTGGCCGCTCCCAGCCACCGCAGCCTCGACCTGCTGGGCTCCGGCGATCCTTCCGCCTCAGCCTTCCAAGTAGCTGGAATCATAGGCGTGCGCTACCACGCCTGGCTCATTTTTGACTTATTGTAGAGATGAGGTCTTGCCAAGTTGCCTAGGCGGGTCGCGAACCCGCGGGCTCAGGCAATCCACTCACCTCAGCCTCCCAAAGGCTCAGGATTACAGGCTGAGCCACTGAGCCCGGCTTGGAGTCTCACTCTTGCCCAGGCTGGAGTGTAGTGGTATGCTTACGGTTACCACAGCCTCAACCTGCTGGGCTCAGGCAATCCTTCTGCCTCACCTTTCCAAGTGCTGAAACTACAGGTGTGTATTGCCACACCCAGCTAATTTTTTTGGTTTATTGTAGAGATAAGGTCTTGCCATGTTGCCCAAGCTCCTCTTGAACTCCTGGTCTCAGGCAGTCCTCTCGCGTCGGCCTCCCAAAGTGCTGGGCCTCCAGGCATGAGCCACCATGCTTCTTTGTTTTTATCTAATTCACATCACTTATTCCTTTCCATAATAGTGAAGACAAATACTATGTGCACTGATACATAGTCTACCTTCTGTTTAGAAATACTCATAAATCCATGTGTTCTGTCACATTTTCTAAATGGCATATGTCATAATGACAGAATTTCATGTGTAGAGAATACTTTATGAAAATTTCATATATTTCTTACTGGTTGTATAGTATAAGATCACTTTCCTATTTGACTTCTTTTTTAATATTTGGCCTCTTCTCATCTTGGCTTCCTTGATACTTTTTCTTCTAAGTCATCTTTCTTCGATTGTTTTTCTTTCTTTAATCTTGGAAGTTTCATGTTTCTTCTCTTCTGATCATCAATCTTGGCAGTATCAGAAAGCTGAATCAGAACTTATGCTTTCTGTGTTTCTCTGTGAATTCCCTTAGGGAACTTACGTACTAACCACAGCTAACACTGATATGTTACAAAGCTTTACCATTTGCACCATGTTTTTATTTGATCCTTGCTACAATAAAACCTTATGCTTGGGTGATACTGTTATCATTTTTACTGATGAGGAAACTGTCTCAGAGAAGTTGTCACATGCCCAAAACCATACAGTTAGCATTTGATCTTAGTCTTCTGATGTTAGATCTCCTGTTTTTACCAGCCCTACAGCCCACTTCCAACCTCAGTGATTTCACCTAAGATGCATATATGAATTTTTCCCAGGTTTACTTCTCTAGCTCTGCCAGTAACCTTGTCCTTAGCTGTCTATTGGGCTTCTCTACTTGCTTTTCTACTTGAAACTTAGCAGAATTGAGAACTGCCCATATTATTTTTCCTGTCATCCCTCCAGATTACCCACTAATTATTAGGAGCATCACTAATCTTTTGTGTCTTCATTCTCTGTAGTTTGATTCTTCATTCTCCTTTGTCCTATATTCAAGTGCTGTCAAAACCTACCTAGGATTTTTTAAAGAAATATTTGTTCATTAATGGAGTTTTTACAGCTTTTTTGCTTTTTATCATATAAATCTTAAAATGTGCAAGATAGAATGATGTAACAAGCTTGCATTACTCAGCTTCAGCTGTTATCACTATTTTGCCAATCTTGTTTCATTTATCACCCTCTACAATTGTTTTTGAGGTGGCTGGATTATTATCCAATCCCAGACTTCCTATGTTTTTACCCAAAAGTAATATACTTGGTATCTTTAACAGATAAGATTTTTTAAAAATGCATTGTTACCAAGTCTAACAATTGGACATAATTCCTTAGTATCATTCAGTAAGCAAGCTGAACAACTTTCAGATTTTCTCAGTTGCCCTCTGTTCTCATTTAGAGTTTATGTAAGTTTTTTTTTTTTTGAGTCAGAGTCTCACTCTGTCACCCAGTCTGGAGTACAGTGACATACTCACGACCACTGCAGCCTTGATTTCCTGGGCTTAGGTGATCCTTCCACCTAAACCTTCCAAGTAGCTGAAGCTACAGGCATGCGCCACCAGACGCTAATTTTTTGATTTATCATAGACATGTGGGCTCAGACTTCCCAAAGTGCTGGGAAAATTTAAAAAATTTTTTTTTTAATGTTTGGAAGAATTCACTGTGGACCCCTCTGAGCCTGGAAGTTTCTTTGTAGGAATTTTACTTTTTTAATTGATATATATTTTATAATCATCTTAGTACTGGGTGCACTAATGTTTAGTGTATAGCTCATTAAATTTTTACATATGTATGCATGCATTCATATAACCACTATCCTGATCAGATGTAGAATATTTCCTGAACCCTAAAACGTTTCTCAAGCTCCTTTAACGTCATTACCCAGTCCAGAAATAACCACTGTTCTGTTTTCTATCACAGTAGATTCATTTTGTCTGTTCTTCGTGTGATATAAATGAAACCTATGGTTTTTACTCTTATGTCTTTACTCTTTCGCTCAACATAATGTGAGATTAATCTATATTGTATCATCAGTAGTTTGCTCCTTTTTTTTTGTTTTTGTTTTTTTGAGTTGGAGTCTCACTCTGTCGCCCAGACTGGAGTGCAGTGGCCGCTCCTGGCCACCACAGCCTCGACCTGCTGGGCTCCGGCGATCCTTCCGCCTCAGCCTTCTGAGTAGCCGGAATTACAGGCATGCGCTACCACGCCCAGCTGATTTTTTGATTTGTTGTAGAGATGAGGTCTCGCTGCCCAGGCGGGTCTCGAACCCGCGGGCTCAGGCAATCCACTCACCTCAGCCTCCCAAAGGCACAGGATTACAGGCTGAGCCACCGAGCCCGGCAGTTTGCTCCTTTTTATTGCTGTGTAGTATTACATTTATATCTTCTGAGTATATCATTTATATCTTCTTGATGCACCTTTGTGTTGTTTCTAGTTTGAGGTTATTGTGAATAAAGCTGCTATGGATACTCTTGTATATGTGTATATGTCTTTTGCTAGACTTATATTCTTGTTTCTCTTAGGTATATATCTAGGAGTGGAATTGCTGGGTCATAAAATGGATGTATATTTCACTGTAGGAGATGCTGCCAGTTTTCCGAAGTTATTATACCAGTGCTCTTTCTAGAGTATATTAAGACTTCCAGGGGATTTATACCATTAGCAACATTTGGTATTGTTGATCATCTTACTGTTAGCTATGTAGTGGTATCTCATTACAGCTTTAATTTGCATTTTACTGATGATTAAAGATGCTAAGTACATTTTCATGTTTATAAACTCTTAGTATATCCTCTTTTGGTACATGCCTATTCATATTTTTTCCATACTTTTTAATAAATTGTATTTTCTTTCCTTTTTTTTCCTTTTGAGTTGGAGTCTCATCCGTCACCCAGGCTGGAGTGCATTGGCATGCTCACAGCCACTGCAGCCTTGACCTGCTAGGCTCAGGCAATCCTTCCGCCTCAACCTTCCAAGTAGTTGGAACCACAGGAGTGTGCCACAACACTTGGCTAATTTTTTGATTTATTGTAGAGACGAGATCTCACAAAGTTGCCCAGGCTGGTTTCGAACCCATGGATTTAGACAATCCTCTTGCCTCCATCTCTTAAAGTGCTGGAATTACAGGCATGAGCCAGCACACTCAGCTGAATTGTCTTTTTCTTAACAATTTGCAGGAATTCCTCATATAATTTGGATGCAAGTTATATATATTGTACATATCTTCTTCCAGTTTTTGGTGAATACCTTCTCGCAGTCTCTCTTAATGGTGTCATTTGAAGAAATGTCCTTAATGTTAATGAAGTCCAGTTTATTGGTTTTCTTTTTATGGTTATTGTTTTTTGTTGAAACCTTAACTCCAAATGATCTTGGATGCTACTCTGGATTTTTAACTAGGTTTATTTATTTTATTTTTTATTTTTTTTTTGAGTCAGAGTCTCACTTTGTCACCCAGACTGGAGTGCAGTAGCACTATCACGGCCACCACAGCCTCGACCTGCTGGGCTCAGGTGATCTTTCCTCTTCAGTCTTCCAACTAACTGAAACTCTAGGTGCATGCTGCCATGCTAACTAATTTTTTTTTTTTAATTGTAGAGACAAGGTCTCGCCAAGTTGCCCAGGCTGGTCTTGAACCCCTGGACTCAGGCAGTCCTCTCGCCTTGGCCTCCCAAAGTGCTGGGATTATAGGTGTGAGCCACCATGCCCAGCTTCAACTATGTTTTACGCTTCACGTTTATGTCTGATTTATCTCAGTTTTAGTTTATGTTGTGAACTGTAGGTGTCAGAGTTCATTTCTTTTTCCCCACATAGCTATCCAGCACCGTTGATTGAAAAAATCACTATTTCCCTTACCTAGTCCTTTTACTATCTCTTGAAACTCATCACTTTCGTTTTATTTTTACAGCTTGTTGGGCTTTTATTATTTCATGTGTAGTGGGTGGCAGAAGCAGTTTAGATTCCTTTTAGCTGATCTTCACGTTCATTCTCCCAATTTCAGTCCATTATATACACAGCTGCTAGAATAATGCTCCTCTAATGTCATTTTTAGTTTTTGTTCTTTGTTCAAGAAATAAAAGTGTGAACGTGTGTCCTAGTATTTAAAAAAAAGAAAAGTAATTTGACTTTTCCTATCATATCAAAAATTAACTCCAGACTAGTTTTCAAAGCTGTATTTTTTTCATCCTCTCCAAAATTTTATGATTCTCAATTTCTGCTTCTGGTACTATAATTTTTTGCCACTCCTAAAGTCAAATTGTTTATTTTTGTGCCTTTCAAAAACCATCCCTTCCTCTTCAGAGATCTCCTTTGTAGTTCCTCATAAGACCATTCTGAGAAGTTTTTTTGCTTCTCTCCTATATCCTGTCAGTGTGCAGACACTCACACAATACTTGTTTCTGCTGTTACATAGTAAACTTGCATTTCAGTGATTTTGTGAATACTGATTTTTTTTTAGCATGTAAGCTATTTGAGGACAGGAACTCTATATTTTTCCTTACACTTTCTACAGAGAACCATAGACTTCTCCTTACAGTGTTTTGTCATTGATGTTCAATTAAAATTGACTGATTGGGTAGAATAATAGGCATTGGCGACTCCAAATAGTGGAGGAGAGGGTAATGAATGAAATATTACCTATTGGGTGCAATGTATATTATGCAGATAATGGGTACACTAAAAATTTAACTTCACCATGAAGTATATCCATGTAATACACTTGTACCCTAGCTGTATAAGAATTAAAACTAATAAATAAAATCGACTGGTGCAGTTATATAATTTATTTTCACTTTAGCAACTGTATTTTGATGAAAACAAGACTTGCTATCATCTCTTCATGAGCGTGAAAAATGGTTATAAAATGAGGGTTTTGTTTTTGTTTTTGTTTTTGTTTTTGTTTGAGTTGTAATCTCACTCTGTCACCCAGGCTGGAGTGCAGTGGCATGCCCATGGCCACCGTAGCCACGACCTGCTGGGCTCAGGTGATCCTTCCACTTCAGCCTTCTAAGTAGCTGGAACTGCAGACACACACCGCCATGCCCAGCTAATGTTTTGATTTATTATAGAAATGAGGTCTTGCCAAGTTGCCCAGGCTGTTCTTGAACCTGTGAGCTCAGGCAATGCTCTCACTTCAGCTTCCCAAAGTGCTGGGATTATAGGTGTGAACCACTGTGCCTGACCACCAGCTATGTTTTATAGTTATATATTGAACATTCACTTGTTATGTCCTAGGTGAAACTGACTTTTCTCCTTTCTTTATGTGTGTATGACCATAGCACTGATGCAGGTGACAGCCCTGTTGGTACCACCACTGCAACCAACCTGGAACAGCCTCAGGTTATCCCCTCTCAAGGTGATCTTCTAGGAGATCTTTTAAACCTTGACCTCGGTCCTCCAGTCAATGTGCCACAGGTATCCTCCATGCAGATGGGAGCAGTGGATCTCTTGGGAGGAGGACTAGATAGTCTGGTAAGTATCTTTCTTCTGTTCTTTTGGTTATTTTTAGTTCTTGATATGCTAGAGAGTTTTAAATTTTTCAGTTTTTTAGAACTAGATCTTTCCTTGATGAACAGTAATGTCCTTTGATAAAGGACAGGATTATTTGTCTTTAGAAAGTTAATTATAATACTGTTCATAATCGGTAATGAGATATGTCTGCAAGTGTATGGGATTATTTTATTGTCCTGCCTCTAAATAGAACTTTTGACATTTAACCAACTTATTTAGCAATCTTAATGTTTAGTGTCCTTTCCAGAGTTTATTATGGTTCCTGCTTCATAACTCTGGTGGATAGCCCCTATAAAGTCTCCTTTTGATCTGAACAGCTTTAAAGTGAACTGGTACAGATCATCCTATTTTGAGGCTTTCGACCCTTTGTCTTTTTATGTTTTATAGACTTATTCCTTGTCTAATTCTGAAAGGTTTTGAGGCTGCCATTTGAACCATTTTTGTATAATATGTGCCTTTATTAAAGTTGGAAAGGACTGCTTGATTGGTTCTTTTTTCCCCTTCTTCCTCACCTGCTTCCGCCATTGTACTTCCAATTTAATTAGCTTCCAGGATTCTAATACTACAAGACTCCAAAGTCCAGAATATCTGTGAATATGTACCACCAATGGGAACCAAAATTATTTTTTGTTGCTGTGCGACATAAATAATAAATGTTAAGGATGACCATCAATCTATGGAGAGAAGGCCTGAAAAATAATGGTGCTCATCACATGGCTCCCTGAAAACTAGGGACTTAGCTGTGGTAGAAATAGAGAGGATCATTGAGCTAGACACTTGCAAATGAGACTTGTCAACTTGATGACTACAAAGATGCTTAACAATGATTTATTTCCCAACATCATCGGAAGGGAGATATTAGAGATATGAAAAATGTATGTTCTCAGAGATGATATGATCAAAACAACCTCACTCTCTGCTACATATACTGGCATCTTCTCTTCTACTTTATGAGCAGTATTGTGTCTGGGGCTTATGCCAGCCATTAGAAGACATTTACTTTTTGGCTGACAGAGTCTAAGAAAATAGAGTTACAGTCATACCTCTGTGGGTTGTGCATTTTACTAATGGAAAGTCACTACTTCTAGAATCTATACTCTGACCAAACTGTGGACTAGTTTTCAAATACTGCAGCTTATATTGATACAAATGAGCATTCCTGTTATCTTTCTTGGGAATTTAAGCAAATACTTTTTCATATTCATATATTTAATGCCTGGAATTTACTGATTATATAAAAAGAACAGCTTCCTCATATGATCTTTCTGTGTTGCTATCTAGCTTCCTTATAGACTCAAGAGACTGACAAATATTTAAATATTCATGGAGGCTCCCAAGAATCCCTTATAAAATTAAAATAGCTCTTTCTCTTCTGTTGATGTCAAACACAAGTTAAATGTTGCTTCCTCCTTAAGTTTATGCCTTAACCCTACTTACTACATTCCCTGGTGGCTAACTACATAGTGGACTCATTGAACCAAAGAGTGACAAAGAAACTAAATTTGAAAGATGGAGGGGAGAAAAAGGCCCTGCATTTTTATGTTTGTCAGGCCTAAGATTCTGCCTTCTTGTGTTCTTTTCTTTTCTTTTTTCCTGAGTCAGAGTCTCACTCTGCCACTCAGGCTGGAGTGCAATGGCACACTCACGGCCACTGCAGCCTCGACCTGCTGGGCTCAGGCGATCCTTCCGCTTCAGCCTTCCAAGTAACTGGAACCACCATGCCCAGCTACTTTATTGACTGATTGATTGAGGAGACTAGGTCTCGCCATGTTGCCCAGGCTCAGCCTTCAAAGTGCTAGGATTACAGGCATGAGCCATCTCTCACGCTGGCTTCCCTCTTGTGTTCTTGACCCACTTTTGCATAGAAGGAAACATACTACTTCCATCTGACTTTGTATTAGCTCTTGCGACCTCAAAACCAATGAGTTTTGTACTGTTTACATAGCTATCCAGTCATCTGTTAGAATTCCTGCAAATATTGTGTCAGATAGAAAAGTTGTTAGAACTTGCTTGGATTATAGTAGTCAAAGTTGCACACAGGCCTTTTTCTTTCTTTTTTATAGGGATATTATTTCTGGAGTGGGGACGTAAGTTGTTTTTGCAACTGAATTTCTAAATATTATACAGTCTTTGCTAAATAGTCCAAGTTATGTTCCTGTGTAACTCTAAATTTTATCTTTTCCTGACTTTGGAATTTAAAATGGCATCGTTGGTGCTATAGCCTCAGAATGTGTTTACAGTGCAGTTTTTTTTCAGTATTCTGGGATGTATTTATATCAAAATGAAAAGGAATAAAAGACCTTGTTTTTGCTTTGGATCTGTATGTGGTTAAATATATATTTACTCAAAGAACCAAGATTTCTTTTACAAGAATATGACAAGGAAGGTCTAAATCTGTCTTTGTGGAAGATGAGTTCTAAGTCAGCAATGGATTATGCCACTTTTAAAATGTTTTTATTGTTCTTGTGCATATTATCTAATTTAAAAAGTAATTCTCCAAGTTTTCACTTAATCTGTATAGTTAGTGCCATTTCTTGAATGCATCCTTGCCTTACAGCAGTGTTTCTCAAATTCACAAATCATATTTATAAATATATTTGTAAATCATCTGGAAATCTTGTATCAGAGAGATTATGATTTATTTGGTCTAGGGTGGGTTCTAGGAATCTGCGTTTTCTCACAAGCTCCCAAGTTATGCTGAAGCTGCCAGTACATGAACCACATTTTGCATAGTAAAGACAGAAGAATGTCAGTAACCACTTGGGAACATCTTCAGTTTGGTATTTGACCTATAACTGCCTACATACTTTTTCTCTTAACTTCAGTAGTAAACATACTCCTGGAAGAAGGACTCCTTCCCTACCTCAAATTAATTGAAATTGTTTTGTTAAAGCTCTTTCTTTTGCCCTCTAGCAGTGGTAGAATTTGACCCACCTTCCATTTAAAATGAGGCTGAGGTTAGAATTGTGTGGTTGTGGGAAGCAGTGTTTAGGCCAGGGATTATTTCAGGAAAACCTCTAGACTGTTGGAGCTGCTTTTATCTTCCAATAGAACCTTGCCCATAGACGTCAGTGTTGTGCTACTAATGGAGTATTGTCTGGCACCTGCTAACTTTTTATGGTTCTGAACTCTAGTTGCAGAAATAGTCTCATATTTGTACCAGTTAAAAGTTACTATCCTTCTAGACATTGAAACTACAAAGAAAAAAGTAATAATATCAACACTCAGATCCAACAGCAATTAAACAAAATTTCTGGGAAGCAGGACCTAGACATGTCTATTTTTATTATTTTATTTTATTTTATTTTTTAGTTGGAATCTCACTCCATTGCCCAGGCTGGAGTACAGTGGTACGTTCACAGCCACCCCAGTGTCAACCTACTGGGCTCTGGTGATCCTTCCACCTCAGCCTTCCAAGAAGCCGAAAATACAGGCACGCACTACTACGCCCAGCTAATTTTTTGATTTATTGTAGAGGCGAGATCTCACCATGTTGCCCAGGCTGGTCTCGAACCTGCGGGCTTAGACAATCCTCTTGCCTCTGCCTCCCAAAGTGCTGGGACTACAGACTTGAGCCACCGTGCCTGGTCATGCTAATTTTTAAAAAGTTTCCCAGGCAATTTTAATTTTGCAGCCAGGTTTGAGAACATTGAAATTCCACATGGAGTTAGGTAGAGATGTTAAAAACTGACCTCTAAGCCAAGTCGGTGACTTCCACAAAAGAATTATGTTCTAGAGAGCCTCTTTGGTACCTCCTACAAAAACAGGCATCTGTGATTTTAACTTCGTTCTTTCCCTTCAGAGTATTTTTTCCATTGTGATTTTTTTGTTAGATGATTCACCCATCAAAAGTTGGCTTGAAGTTGAATTTGATCAATTTGGATATAGTCAACTCAGTCCCAAGGTCCTTTATACACTTTCCACTATCAGAGACCAGAAATTGAGGAAATTTTATATTCTGGTTTGACTGGCCATTTTCTGTTTTTCTGTCTTAAAACTTGATATTCATGAGAAGATACTTTTATTTTTATCCTAGCCTGGAGATCCTCTTATTAGATCTTGTTCTGTGTGGTGTGTTGACTCTCGCCTGTAATCTTAGCACTTTGGGAGACTGACATGGGAGGATCGCTTGAGCCCAGGAATTTGATACCAGCCTGGGCAAACATAGCAAGACCTCATCTCTACAGACAATCAAAGAAATTAGCCAAGCACGGTAGCATGTTCCTATAGTCCCAGCTACTCGGGAAGCTGAGGCAGAAGGATCACCAGAGCCCAGGCTGAGGCTGTGGTGAGCTATGATTGTGCCACTTGTACTCCAGCCTAGGTGACAGAGTGAGACCTCAACTCAGAGAAGAAAAAAAAAACTTGATCTATTTCATTTTCTTTTATGTCATACTCATGAAATTTTGAGATTTAGTGAGTTACAACCTTTTTCTAGAACTGTTATACTCAGGAAATGCTTACTAGTTTATTATTATTACTTGCCACAACATACATGAAGGCTCCAGTCTTCTGTTAAGAATAGTGACCCATTTCACCTGTGATTTTTAAACCAAAGAGGAATGAGGTAGGAGTATGCTGTGATATAAAGAAAACATTCACACCATGCCTCCTAGATGATTGATTCGTGTATGTTTTTTGTTTTTTTAAAAGAGCAGTTGCCTTTGGAAATCACTAATTTAGGCAGAGATTTTAAAATGGAATGTATCTTCATCACAGGATTTGAATCAAAATGGATTTCCCACCTATTCTTTTTAGTTTCCTTGCTGAAACATCCACATCCTTATTTTTTGCTTGTTTTTCAACATATTTTCTTTTTTCTTTTTTTTTGGTTTATAGTAACTTTATTTGTCTTTTAAATCTCATAGTAAGTAAAAAGTAGAATTCCAAACAGCATATTCTCTTTTGCTTGTACTCTACAGATAGTTTCTTCCATCTGTTAGTACAAATGTAACTGTCGC